GCACGGGAAGGCGCTCGCTGAGGGTATTCTCGCATAGCCATAGAAAGGCCTCGGCTAAGAAATCAACAGCTTGAGGCTTGCCATGCGATTTGGAGCAATCTTTACAGGACAGAACAATCAAACATGCCAGGTGTTGAAACCCAAAGCAAAAACAACTCTATGCTTGCGCCTGGTGGCTGACTTCCCAACACCGTCAAGCCCCAACAGCAGCACCTGCAAAGCTCTTACGACGTGTCTCTGAGGCAAGCAGCAAGGACCCTAGCTTGTTTTAAGCGTTGGTTACGAGGTCTCGGAGGAGGTTGGCACGTCTTAGCGTCATAGCCCTCCTCCACAGGGAGTTCAAATGGAGGCACTAGCCAATGCAGCCAGTTTACGTGAACGCCTCACAACCGAGCAGACCCAGAAAGGTGCGGAAGAATAGGAACATGCGCAGGACAGCTCAAAACGACTCCAACAAATGTGCAAGAGTGCCGCAAAACACGGTCCCAAAGCGGTGGGGCCGCTGTGGGATTTGAAATCGCACCGAGAGCTACGTGCGGGCCATGCTCAGATGACTTAATGAGCGGGCCGCGGGACGTGTCGTCCTTTGTACTGAACACGGAACAACTTCGCACAAAGAACGCAAAACAAATAGCCTGTTGCAAGAGGAGAGAAGCCCACTGAAGCCACCACAAACAAGAACACAGCTCCAAACGACCCGGCACAAACGCAAATCTGCCGCAACAATCGACTCCAAGCACAAGCCCGAGGCGCAGGTAAGGTTGAAAAATCTCGTGCAAAGACCAGAGCCCCACACGCAGCCCAGGGCCATCCTAGACCAAACCAAGGATCCCAGGAGCCAGCAAACCTGAAAATGCTCGGAGATGGAGAAGCAAAACCTGAACAGACAAGCGCTCCGGGGCCCACCCAAACCGACAGTCACCGAAGCCCTCCGAGAGCCCCAAACCGTAGCGCGAACACAGAAGGAGCACAATAAACCGAAACCACGAATAAACCAACCAGAAGTGGCACAGTCGCCCCGCGAGGCGGAGACAGGCAGGAGGTGGGTGGGTGTTCGTCAGTGGGATTCAACCTCCGCCCGCGGGGCTACAAGGTCGCCCTCAAAAATTTGTTGGGGGACTGGCTGCCTTGAGGCGGTCCTTTTGCGGAAAGCAAAAAAAAGGCACATTGGACCGAAGGAATCAGTGTGCCCAGCAAATCTGCATTTTGAAGCTCTGAATGTGCCCAGTGCGTTTAAAGCTTTAGCATGTTTGAGAAGTCCGTGCGGCGCTCACAAGCCCATCAGCAGCCAGGTCTAGCCATCAAACCCTAAATGACAATTCTCCTACCGCACTACAAGCCTAGTTGCAGACCTGCTGAACTAGGTGCACATG